AAAAGTACCGAACGAAGTTCAAACTTGCGAGTGCCAGTACGTACTGGGCATGTGAAATCATGCGTGTGGACAGGGGCTGTTTACGTGTAGGGAGGAAGATCCTACAAGGCGTAACATCCTAGCGCCATATGTTTTCTATATTCAGATTACATGCAAAGGGTTGTATTTGTCCCAAGCACTGGGATCTTCCCAGAAGAGCCTATCAGCATGTAAACTGCTTTCACTAGGAAGATCCTAGAGCTAGGGACAAACCAGACAAAAAATGGCGGCGGGTCGTTCAGAGGCTTATCACCGTAATAAAGGCCGACCAATGCCTTTGACATTACCGTGTTCGAGCCGATAATTGTGGTAATTCTGATAAAAGGTAGTTATTGACGCCAGTAAGAGGGCAGAAGGGGCTGGGCCCAAGTATAACTTTTGTTGTTGTATTCCTAGACTTTCACTCAACTAAACAGGGATTGTCATTGGTTGATTCTTGGTCACGTGGCCTTGACTAAAATCAAATGTATCCCTATCGTGATATATTAAGCAATGTACCCCGCTCGGGCTACATTACAGCACGTGATCAAAGTATGGCGGAAAGTGGTGTGAGAGAAAGCGGGAAAAACACTGCCAGTTTTCTTTTTCGTGAATGAACACAACAACTTGAACACAAACACGAAGCCTCTAGCTAAAAAGCAACGATTTTTAAAGTCATCCCAGAAGAGAAACAGCACTTAGTGGAGGAAAAAGATGCAGATAATATAATGAAAGTACTTTGCAAATCATTCAGTGAGTGGTTTTAAGAATGAAATTTGTGTTGTTATGAGTACCGAGTCGACTGTTTTAGTTCGCTCCGGTTATTCTTTTGATGCTGTTGAAGTGAAAGTCTAGAAATATAACAAAACATTTAATGTCAGGACCCTCGGGAAACCAGTTAGTTTTGTTTTCCCTCGAGTCCTGATGTTTCCCTCGACTTGGTCTCGAGAAACATCACGACTATTGGGAGAACAAACTAACTGTTGCCCTCGGGATCTGACATTAAGTGTATATTATTTTTAGTTTCAGTTTCAGTTGTAGTTTATTTCCCTCAATATTTTTGACTAATGCTAGGTTACAGACTTAACAGCTAGGTTACAGGAAAATGTTGCTATAGTTTGGGTATGATGACGAACAGAACCATTAGGTTTTCTAGTTGCCCACCATAATACCAATTATGTTTAAAATTAAAATAGATACAGGTGATGAACCAGAAAGAGCAAAATAAAATTAAAAGAAATAATAAGAAAAAATAAATAAGAACCTAATAATAGAAAAGAAAAGAAACAATTAACAGCAATTGATAACAATTAAATAAAATACAAAAATTTTATTATTTAAAAAAGTAATACGGACAAGTTAACCAGCCATCTTTACTTGGTAAGCAGACGGACGGAAATGTCTGCATGCAAACCAAACGAAAAGTTGTTCCGCCTTCTAGGATCTTCAGCCCCTAAGGTAGAGTGGTTGAATTAAAATATAAAATCAAAGAGGACAGACGGCAAATTGTTGTTGCTTGAAATATCTAAAATTCGTAACTGTTCATCAGCAGGATGCCTAAAATGTTTGCACTCCACAATTGGTCCTATACCAATTGTAGAACATTTTAGTTAGAGCCACCAACAATGTGAGCACAGTTACTGACAAAGTATATGAAGAGGAAAACAACCCAAAGAAATTGTAATGCGTTAGGGCCAATTATCGTATCTCGTTGCTAAGTAACCCGGTAACTATATATATGCAAGTGGAATTTGAGCTCCGGATTTCTTACTTCGCGCGTTTGGACCGCTGGCTGGGCGGAATATATTTTTTTCGTGCGGAAAGGTTTCGTTTTATTTTAGTTAACGCTTGAATTTTCCTGCATGATTCCAGTGGAAATTAATAGCGGAAAGATCTCATACAATGAACAGGATTAATCGTATTTATAGCGCAAAGTCTTATCTATAGTCTTATCTTCTCACTCACGATGTACTAGCTCCCTGAAACACCGAATGTAAAAATATTGTCTACAAAAGTGCCCACAAAAGTTAAGCGCATAAGCTTGGCTTCTTCTCCAAATAGCCAAGTTGAAAGTTTTTCTTTTTTCATTTCATTTCGATTCTCTCTTTCTAAAGTTAAAGCTTGATGACTATTCCCTAGCTATGGGCCTCAAAAGATACGATTCTATGGGCCCTTAAAGCATCGTTTAAAGTTTCAAACGCTCAAAAAATCTTTCAAATGTCGACTTAGAAAGATGAAGCAATAACGCTCTTGCCGCTGATTGCTTCAGTTCTTACTTCAAAAGTTCAAAGTTTTTTGAGAGATTTGGAAAATTAAGGATACAGACAGCAACACTAGCCCGCAAAATACAGGGGCTCCCAACGTCAATTTTTGGAAAATATCTGTTCGGAGGACGATTTGAGATCTAGAATTTTCGGAACATTATTTTTTTGTAAAATTTCTTACTTGCCTGCCTCTCCTGGGATTTTCGAACATCGAAAAGATGGTATAATTGCCCATTTTTAACGGATTTTTACCCTAAAAAGGTCCGTTTCGGGAGCCTTTTTTCTGGCTGAAATTTTCGAAAGATAAGTTTTGATCGCTATAATTTTCGGATCACTAGACTTTCAGCTAGGAAATCCAAACAGATGAAAAACTTTTAGGGGATAAAAATATACCTATATCTACCGTTTAAATACTAAAATACGTTCAACAATGCCGTGTTTAAGTGGTTTTGAACTATATTCTCGTTGGGTGCCCCTGAAAATAGCTAGAGCTAATCTGGGCGGGTTGTGGAGAGACTGTTTACAGAGTAAATTTAGTAGTAAGGTTTACATAAATAATGAGCCATAAATAAGCAGATAGTATGAATAGATATGAGAATATATAGATAATTGATGTTAAGGGCTGACTTAGAAAGTGGGTAAATAAAGCTACTTTGGACATGCAATTTGAAGCTTATTGATAAGGGTGGGTATGCCGACATATTTATCCTTTTCCCAGTTTAAAACTTTCGAAGTTGATTTTAAATATTTTTCTTGAATACCTAGATAATTTACGTACTAGTTTGTTCTTGGGGAATGTTATTCGTTTTTTTGGCCCCTTGTCTCTTGAAAAAGATTTATATTTTTGATTACACCTTGAGAGTCAAAGTTACAAAATACAATCAGTTTTCAGTCATGTCTAACATACTCTGATAAGAAATCAAACAATTAGAAAACTGTTTCCTTTATGCCCAAACCACCCAATTAATGCTGTTAAAAAAAAAATCGTTAGGGTGCAATAATGTGATTTCTATTCTCAGAGTTCGCGAGAACAATTTTTCTACAGACACGTGAAAGAGCTTTTTACTCTCACCCAGCCTCGTTCCCAGTCGTCCTCGGCGATTTTGAATTTGAAGTCACGTGTGCCATCGCGTGCTCGGTTCCAAGCCTCCTCCGCTCACTTGAATAGCGTCCACTAGCCTGGAGACGAGGCTGCCTCTTACCATAGCAGAAGCAAGCAAGCTGAAGAGATTTAATTTCACGTCAACTTGCAGCTATATAAGTAGGCACTCCAACATTCGACTGCAAACCGTCAGGTTTTTTATTTCTCAAAATCGGGAAGGCCCGAAGCGCTGGTGAAACCTTTCCTTTGACCGCTCACGCATGCGTTCTTTACGTAGACGAAAATAGTGCGAAAATACAGGTTGTTTTGCAGTCTACTTCAACATATTTAAGTCGTTGGTTGGGTAAAGAGATGGAAAAAGTTCAGACACACACACCCCCCCCCCCCCAAAAAAAAACGATAGTAAAGGAAAAACAAGTTTGCTACAAAGATTCTCAAACAAGCGCAGATTTTCTTTGCCCATTATTATACAATATTTCAGTTTTGTTAAAAGTTTCATTTCAAACAAATACTTGAAGGGAACCGTTAAGCATGAAGGGTATTTTCTTGGGGTAACCATGAGGAGAGGGCCGTTTCAAGCTCTCTCAACCCGAATCATTAACCCATTTGTTCTATCACTGCTCACGTTCTAAACAGTTTTGGATTGAATTTGAATTATATTGGTGCCTTACTTTAAATCAAGAATTCGTCTCCGCTTAGAAAATATGCCTTTGGAATTTTGACGGGAAATGCTTGCCCTTTACTTCAATTGCTGAACTATTTTATGATTATTGGAAAACGGCTATTTGCGGGACTGTAGGAGCAAACAAATCCTAGGGCGAAGATCATCGCTAAATATGAAACAGAACAAAAAATCAGCAACAAAGAATTCTTTAAAAGAAAGTGGGTACTGACGCCTTATTTAAGTTAACTGTCTTAAATCCGTATTATTTCATTGCCCTGTTGTACTTTTTCTATTTTCTTTGCCCCGTACTAATTTAACAATTAATTTTGCTTTACTCTGTTAAGGTCTATTGTTAAAATGCTTTTTTGTAGTATATTGTAAATGTAATTATTTAATGTGATTATCAATAAATATATTATATTAAAAAACGCTCTCTCGTGAGTTTGAGGCCGATCCCCTGGGGTAAAATTATGATAAGGCGAATATTTGGGAACCGTTGTAAACGGAGGGTCGTAAATCGGACAATTTTCTTGACCTACATCTTCCTTTTCATGAACGGGCCAGGACAATCTGCGAGCCAGTGAGCCATTCAAACCATGCCGGGAATAAATGAAGTTTTCTGAAGTTGCAAATACATGCAAAACGTTTCCTGTTAAGTTCCCTAGAGGTATGTGAGGTTTCAATGGTGGAATATTTGCAGAGTTACTCAGTCTTGTTTTACTTTCACCCACTAGGGTTAAGAACTCATTTTATGGATTAGAGATTAACTGGGTTAAAAATCATCATAAACGCTCTTTAGGGTTGAACACTCATTTAAAACGGTTAGCTTTCAGTTATCTTTTTTTTTGGTCTTAGAGTTTGGTCGATTTTTTTATTTTTTCGCATGGCTCGCCTGCCTTTTCGGCTCGCATTGTGTCCTAACTCTTGGTAGACGGGTCCTTTTAGTTTTTCTTTATAAGTTAACGGTTGCTGCTGAAATTTTTCGTCCTAAATGTGAATACCGTCCACGGGAACAAACAACGAAATCTTGAAACTTGATGACACCATTACCGTTTAGGTCCATTCTATCAAACAGTTCCCTTAACTTCATGTCATGAAATGGCGCATTTAACTTCTTCATTCCACTTACAAAGTCCTCTTTACTGAGCTTGCCACCATCGCGGTCTTTTGATAAAATCTTAAACAGTTCGATCAAGCGTAGCCCTCGAGTGCGAACGAAGGCCAAGTAGACATCAAAAATATCAGTCGTATTCTTGATCTCGTCCGATTTGCGCTCTCCCTTTATGCTGATATCCCAGGAACACGTGAAATATGGCCTTCCTTCCAGCAGAAGTTCAAGCTCTCGGGAGCAATCCTTGTCAAAGACTATATCGTCCATTTGCAACTCTCTCAAAGCGCTCGATAGATTTTTCCTTATTGCCTGCAAGAGAATACAGGCACCGAAGCTTTGGAATGGATTCCGCCCAGTTTTCAAAATTTCTAAGCATTTGTTCGTCCTCAAAAACTTCGCAATGGAAGCAACGCCTTTATTGGAGATGCAATTACTGCTGATGTCCAGGACTTTGAGCGTCTGGTTGCACGACAATGCATCTTGCATAGATACAATGCCATTATCAAGAAGGCCATTCCAGCTAATATTCATCTCTCTGAGGCGAGTATTCATTTTTAATCCCTCAGCCAAGACCCGAGCCCCTTCGACCCGAATGCTGTTCCAACTGATGTCCAGAGTGACTAGGACTGTGTTCCACTTGATGACCGACCCAAGCAACGACGCCCCTTTGTCACCAAGGTCGTTGTATGACAAATTCAAATACGTCAAGGGGGCATCTATCCTAATTGAATTACAAAAAACAACGAAGTTTTTCCCTTGCAAACTACACTTGCTAAGGTTTAATTCTTTCAGGGTGTTGTTCTGCAGTAACATATCCCCTAGTTCATCAGTACCTCCTTTGCCAATATGGTTCCCCAACAGATCCACCCTGACTATATGAACATTTCTTTTCAGCATCTTTGCGATTGACACGATTCCCTTGTCATTAATGTCATTGTCTTGAAGTTGTAAGTTTATTACATTTGAGCATTTTTCCAAAGCTGTGCAAACGGCTCTTGTGCCAGGATTTCCGAGGCCGTAATGGCTCAGATCGACGCTCTCAGTTAAGCATTGTTTCAAGAATCTGGATGAGGGAAAAACTTCATTATTCTTACATGCCTCAAGGTAAATATCCTGAACTGACTTTCCTGAATTCTCAACCTCGTCATTTCCCTCGGCGATCTCAAGTTCTTCGAAAACGATGTTTCCCTCTAAGTCGGTGTCGAAAGATTCATCTGCTTCCATCATCGCCTCCAGATAAGCTAAGCGACTGGGATTTCTACTGCTGACAGTACGTGAATGGAAGACTGGCGTTTTCCTTTCGACCCCTCCCGGCAGTAGCGATCAAGAGCACCAGACTTTCTTGTTCAAAACTCTACGCTCCACTTTCAGGCATCACTGTGAATCAGGATAAAATACTTGCAGTCTAATTTGAATTTGCTCAGGCTGCAGAGGCAACTGCGCTAAAGGAATCAGAGCTAGAGTTTCCTGCATCAGAATTTGATTGATATTTGGCTCGCAAACGTTGAGTATAGTGACTTTCAAGAATGTCATCACTTTCATTCGTATGCTACGCAATCGATAAAATACTAGTATATTGCTCGTGTTTTACTGAAGACTTTTAAACGTTCCAGTATGATTGCTCGTCGTTTCTTTCCAGGTATAAAATGATGTAGATGGAAAGCGAGTGAGCTAGACCGCAGTCAGTGTTAATGTTACATAAACGAAATCAAAAGTTTAAGGTCAAAGAGATACTTTGATCGTTTCTCATGGAAGGAATTTGTTTTGAACTGATAAATGCCTTCATTAAATCTTTATATTATATGCTTATTGCTCAGAGGCAATGAAAACTAAGCCAATTATGAACTGGACAGATATAAATATATTAAAAGGAATTTTGTTATTGAGAAAAAAAAAAAAAAAAAAAAAACAGGACTGACAAAGGCTAACCCTAATAATGATAGTATGGAGGTTGAGGAATACACAGAGTAGACAGTGTAAATTATCGTGTTTTCTGGAAGAAAGTCAAAAAAACAATGATTAATAAAATATTAACGCTCGGGTAAAACTAAAGAAAACATTGTCAAGATTCATTCATTCATAGTTGAAAAATAATACTTATAGTGGAGCTCTGGCGCGCGAAGCGCGCCTGCGGAGCACTATGGGTAAGTAAATCTACCCATCCGAGAAAATTTGGTAATCACTTGACCGTACACCGCCCGCAGCCCGCCCGTCCGTCCGCACCACAGGAAAACCAATGTTCAATCTCACACTTTCTAGCTAGTTTAGTAGCACAGGAAAACTGATATTGCACACATATTGTACATCAATGTTGTGATCAATTGACAGCTGTCAAAACAGGGTATCCGCTGACCAGTATCACCTGACCGTAGTGCGGGCTCAGGTGTCGACTCATCGAGGTCGAGTATCTTTTTGAAGTTATCCGCTGACAAGTTTCTAGTTTTCAAATGATTGCAGGCTCAAGTTTAATTTTTTTTTTAATTCATATGAAATATGTTGTGTTTTTTTATGTGTCGCACAATTAAAATTTTGATTTCAAACTGACCTCAGAAGCTAAAATTCAGCCAGTTTTTACAGGCAGGGAAGACATGCCAGTTGCTTTTGACTTTTCTCAACAAGGTCACGCGTTGGTCACGCTCTACGTCCAATTTTTATGCTCTGATTGGTCAAAATTTGACAGGTGAGTTCAAGCGGAAAATTTATGCAGCATCTTGAAACTTGTTTACTTTGACAGCTGAAGCTGACAGAGTTCTGTGTCAACTTGTGATGTTTTTAACTGTCTTTCTCCGCGAATGTACAAAATGAAATTCTGCTGCTATCAAGAGTCTTCTGTTATTAATGGCTCGTTTGTTTATTGGGTTTTTGGTTCAGAAAAACGTCGCTTGTCAAAGTCGGAAATCCGATTTCGGATGGCATCGTTTTCGTTTTTCACCTTGCTTGATGCGTAAGAGGGTTGAAAAATCTGAAGCGATTCTGGCCTTACTTGATGGTTTTCAGAGCATCTCGAATGGTAAGCCTGAGTAATTATTGTATTTGATGTTTGTTTTTTATATCTAATTTAATGAAGTCGGGCGTAGTTTATGCGGCTATTTAGTTTATGCACGTTTGTAAGATTTTAGACAATGATCGATTTGACCGAGTATCAGGTTTGATTATAAGCTTATAGAACTTTAAAAAGCCTCTAGACATTTTCTCACTGCAAATAGAAAGAAAACGTTCCAAAGAATATTTAGTTTTAATTCTGGCTGTAAAAGAAAGCTTTGAGCGTTTTTCTTGCCTCGAGTTCATCTTTGAAAAAAGCAAACGCCGGGAAGCCGGCTTAAAACATAAACAAGGATTTTCAGAGACACTTTTTACTTGTCTTCGTGAATGAAAATTGTTGTCTCTGTATATGTTTCACCGAATTATTAACCTTTTATTGATTGTTAGTAGTGTCTTTCGCAATTTTAATCGCTGTGCCGTTTGTTTTCAGTCGCTCACGAACATCGCTTGCAGGAGTAGTCAAAATGCCGCGTGTATCAAACGCTTTTGAAGATTACACATAGTTATAAAACCTTTAACTAAAGAAATAAACATAATAAATATTTATCATGTGAAAGCGTATAACTCTATTAATCTTGATTTAAATAGTCGACTTTGGCGCTTGTCAAAAGTGAGAACCGGCAAGCCGTATAGGTGATTTTACAAATTTGTTTAACGGTTTCGGTAAAAGCCCACGCGTGTTTCGATCGACCTGAATGTTGAATGAGTACAATTTGTATTGCAAAATTGTGATCTGTCCGAGGTCTGTATGATAAAAACAGTGCCTCAAGGTACTGTTTCACCTCAGATGATGTATAAAAAGTATAAAAGATGGTTTACACGTCCCCAGACTTGTTAGCAAGATTTTGTAAAATAAATTGTAAACTTGTCGAACGCAAAAAATTGGGCCTGATTTGTTTTCCGAGAATTTGTTTTCCAGGCCTAATCTACTGTGATCAAGAGCCATTATGGCTCTTGAATGTGATCGAAGATGATTGCTGTTTTTTGGGTGTACATATAAGGCTATCAACTCGATGTAAGATTAAGTTCACTCTAAGCTTGGACTGTTTGCAAATTATTTTTCTCTAAAATCACTTAGCCTTTCCCTCAAAAGACACATGAATGTGCTCTAAAGTTAACTGATTTGTAAAATACAATTGCAAGTTTATTGTTTGATTTAAAATATAAATTCGAGTTAATAGGAGCTTCGCTTTTAGCCCTGGCTAAATCTATATATTAGTTCGAGAAGAATGTGTGCGAGGGATCAGCATCGTGTTTACTCGTTTCTTTAAAGGGATGTTTAGCCTTGAAGATAGTCTTTAAATAACAGTTGTCATTCGTCAAGTTGTATTTTTGCTCTTGTTGCTATTTTCTAGGCAGTAGTTTGGTAAATTAAGAGTGAGATTGCTGTCATTTTCTCTTGCAGTACCCAAACAACGTAACTGATCTGAAACAACCTTTTTCCAGGGCTATTCCGTTGCCAGATAGCTTTTGCGCCGCAGCGAAAATCACACCAGAAAGGGCTTCTCTTCACACACAAGATGATTTCGGTGCGATTTCTGTGACGGAGTGATACTTCGCCGCGCTGATCTTGAAACATATCGGACAGGTTCAGTGTGCCATACTTTGGAGCAGTGTGAACACCTATTCGGACCGTCGCGGAAGTAAATAAGTAGAAGAGAGGACTGGAATCTACTGAGACGGAAGTAAATATTCAGGGTGAGGACTGGATTTAGTGCACCAAGCCCTCTCGGCCACTGCGCTGGCACGATGTTTGATGTGTGTGAACGACTTCTGCCGCCCCGGGCCGTTTCTGTTCATACAAGCCTGGAGAATTTGGCCAATTTTTTAAGGAGAAATATTTTGAACGAATAAGAAATAACCTTATCCATTTATAGGTTTTTCCATAATTTTAATATTCGACCTTGCATTGACAACCGATCTTTTTTAAATTGACTTTTAAACTGTCTTTTAATTTACCAGCCTTGATCATTTACCATTACCTAGCTAAAACCTCTTTTGGTTTAACTCTAGAATAATGACACCATTTTGCTTTCACTTTTGTATTTTTTTTAACTGTCTTACTGCCATTCTACGGAAACCTGGCGTAACTTTCAACAGAATATTTTTTGGAGTTTAACGAAAGTTTGACATTCTTCTTTATTGCCGGAACGAAATCTCTGAATACAACACGCATCTCTAGTTCTATCAAGTTACATGCAACTACAATTGTGAAACGGAAAGAAAATACGCCGTGCACCGTTTTTCTTTAAGAATATGTACAGTCAACTCCCTTTCAGCGGACACTGTAGGAACCTTAAGTTAGTGTCCTCATTAAAGAGAGTCCACAATAGCGGGATTTTATTTCAGTCAAATGTCTGTAATTTGTTTTTGCCTGCGATTTACCTACTGTCTGTATTATCGTCTAGATGACCGCCCCCGCCCCCCCCCTTATCTGAAGGTCTGGATCCGCCACTGAATACCAAATATGAAATAAACCGTGCTTATGACTCGTTAAGAAAAAAAATATCTTCTGGACCCAAGGGTAGAAAAGTCCAAGCACGTAAACTTTTGCTGCAAACAATTCGCTTGGTTTTTAGCATCAAGTGCAAGTACGTTTTATAACATTGGATACTTATAATGAAGATTTGGAAAGCACAGTAATATAGTTTATTCGATTAGTAGCTTTCTATTATTTGTGATTTCCTTAATTGTTCTAAGTTAAGTGAGATTCGTGCTTGGTTCGGCATTCCTTGGATGACATCGTTACTTAGGTGAATTAAGGCATGGGTCCTCGTTACATGCGGGGTTCCATGATTTGATCTTGTTTTTTCCAGTATCTTCCTTCATTTTAACCTTAGACCGCTGTGTTTAAGACCACCTTAATCACTACTTTTTCCAGATCACGTGACCAGCCACGCCCATGATTATGCAACATTTGGACTCAGCAGATTACACCACTTTAATGAATGTGACCACAATCGTTTTTCCTTCCATGATATTTCATTTACAGTCAAATAAGCTCAATTAATCGGGGATTTGTGAAATAATCCATTCCTTCGTATTATTAGATATTTTTCTCTCGTCCCAGTCTTCCTTTTCACAAGAAACGTTATAGTTTAAAAACGTAGATAATTTTAGAAAACCCCGATTAATTCCACAAACTTTGTATCGATAGTCATTGACAAAAAACAAATTAAATTACA